AGAAAAATAAAAGAATAACACCTGAAGAAAACAGAAAACCGGAACTCTCGGATGATTGGTGTACTTGAACTTATGGCTCAGAGAAAAAAAAACAAAGAAAATCTCCAAGAAGATAAGAGAATACATACCATCGTGAGAAGAAAAATAAGAGAAGCTAAAGAGAAACAAAAAACAAAACAATGTCAAGAAATAGAGGAGCATCAGAGTCGATATGATAACTTCCATGTTCATCGAAAGGTGAAGGAAATAGCTGGAAAGTTCCGAAGGCGCAACAGCGGAAAAATAACAGATAATTAAGGCAATCTTGCCATAACCAAAGAAGATAAAAAGAAAGGTGCAGGTATTGCTTCAAACATGTAGAGATGTCAATGGTAATGTTTTTGCATGCTTGATTGACTACAAGAAGGCTTTCGATAGAGTCAGGCATAAACAACTGATGGAAGTGCTAAAGAGGACAGGAATTGACGGAGAAGACTTAAAAATAACAGCTAACCTGTATTAGAATAAATCAGCGGTGCTTCAAATAGATAAAGAATATACAGATCAGGTCAAAATCTTAAGGAAAGTGAGACAGGGGTGCATAATTTCACCACTGATATTCAATCTGTACTCAGAGCACATTTTTGAAGAAGCTCTAAAAAATATTTATGAAGGCATCTCAATAAATGGAATCAAGCACAATAACCTGCGGTATGCATATGACACAATAGTGTTTTCAAATACCATAGAAGAGCTACAAAACTTAATGAACAAAATAACTAAAACAAGTAGAATATATGGACTGGATATAAACACCAGCAAAACCAAGCTAATGATCGTCACCAAGGAAGCCAGAACTGGAGCAAATCTGTATGTGAACCAAATAAAAATTGAACGTGTCTCACAATACAACTACTGGAGAACTATAATCAATGAGTCGTGGGACAATACCCAAGATATTTAATGCCGCATCGGATAGGCAAAAAGTGTATTCTTGACTATGAGCTCTCTGTTCAAGAGCTATCACCAAACACTAGAAACAAACATAAGGCTCCTTAAATGTTTCGTGTATTCAGTGCTTCTGTACGGAGTAGAAACGTGGACATTGAAGGCGAAAACTCTATCAAAACTTCAGGCTTTTGAGCTATGGTTATACTGAAGGATCCTAAAGATTTCACGGAGAGACAAAGTTACCAATGAAGAAGTATTGCGGAGGATGAAATCAACTCGGATTTGGTCAACATCGTGAAGGCCCGTAAGCTGCAGTACTTGGGACATATAATGAGAAATCAAGGCAGATTCGAGCTACTTCAATGCATTGTGCAAAGTAAAATTGAAGGAAGAGGGCCCCAGGACGAAGAAGAATATTCTGCTAAGAGCATTGTATAGAATTACCTTAACACATCTATTTCTTATAGCAACCAACAAAGTCATTATAGCCAGAATGATCGTCAATGTTCGGAACGGACAGGCACCCTAAGAAGAAGAAATGATTTAATTTGATAACATACACTTATGCTTACTAAATTAATAGTGATAGGTAATAGTTTATGAATAATACCGTTATAGATGAAAGCTTTCTTAGATAAACAATTTCAATTTTGCAATAACTGTAAAGTGAAAGTTTTGAAATTTTTATAGCTGAATATTTGTGACATTGTCCCCATTCCATCGCGAAATTAAAGTTTTTTGTGCAATTTTTCAAAAGTCTTTAATAATTTTTAAAAAATTGACTTTTGAAGCTTTTTTTGCAATAATTTACGTAGAAAATAACTTTACAAACTCTCATTTTAACGGATTTTCTATGATTTTTTTATTTTCAGTAACATTGTGTCACTTTTTCATATAATTTATCGGTCTCCACCGTTAGTATTTAAAATCAGCAACCTCATATATTGTTTATATACTGTTTAAAAGTAAAAAAATGAGGTTTAGATTTCTGCACCACAAAGTGTCTGAGAGCATCGTTACTTACAAACAGTATATTCCTGTATATTGTTTATATATTGCTGCATTCCTATGCAATATCTTGTTTAATGTTTTGTTGCCTAGTAATATATAATTATATTTACCGTTTTTAATTAACTTATTTTTCTTAACTCTTTTCTCTTTTTCCTACCTTTTATAAGTACATTTATATTTTGCTGTAGTTTGTCCCTACTTTGGTTTTATTGAAGTCCAAACAGAACTTTTTGCATATAATCAAGATAATTTCCTTAAAACATGCAACGTACTGTATTCTTTTAGATTATTACTAACTAGTTTTATCGATCTTAAAATTGCGACAAAGTTGGCTGGAACAAACCCCAATTTTTCTGATACCAGTAGCCTACATTTGTCCATTTCCAAGAATCTGTCGTTACTGGTATAGTATGAGTTCATGGTGTTTTGTTGATCGATACTAAAAAATATTATGCGTATTAGTTTAAATGAAAGCATTCTTAATGGATGGAATTCAGGAAGTGGTTTATAAAATATTTAAATGATATATTTGCATACCTGATATCTTGTTTTATAATACAACACGATATAAATGACAGTAATAAATTCCTTATGTCGTATTACATTCCGTTTGTTACAATATCCTTAAATAATTTGGTTTATTATCAACCAAGTGATTTGAATGGGGGTTATGTGGTCTTGTATCATCATCATTATTCAGTCTATAACGATCACTAATCGCCTACTTTTCCATTCAGTCTGATTTTGCGCTATCTGAAAACAATTTGTAGTCATCCTTTTTATGTCATCGGTCCATCTCGTCGGGGTCGATGTCTGTTTCTGGTAGCTTGTATTCGTGGTCTCCATTAAAAAATTATTTTTATCCACAGATACTCAACTGATCTAATCAGCATATCTCCCCTAGATAATATCTAGGGGAGATAACTTCCCACACAGCAAAAATGTTTAATGTGTGGCTGGCTCATCAAAATAATTCATTTATATTTGTTGCATCTTTTTGTCCGTTACTTCTTCGGAATTGCTACAAAAGCAGCTATTTCTCAGGTATTTCACCAGTAGTACACACATAATTGGTAACATCATTTAAATTTTGAAATAGTACAATTCTTTTGCCGATGTTTTTTCTCTATTCTTTTCAGTTTGACTCTGCGACTAGACGGTTGAGATCAGATCCAATATTTGCTTCATAGTGTTTAAAAACATTTAATAGGTTAATTAGAAAATTCAAACTCGAGTAGCTTTTCAACGAGGAACTAAGAGAACCGATAACGAGAAGAAATACATAAAATTTATAAAAAATAACAAGATAGAATCTTTTGTAATTTACACGACGATTAGTTTACCGTGAGATATAATTGCTATAAAGTATTATTTCATCAAATTAAAATAATATACGACGACATTTTTGCATACAACTTTTTATTGCTTACTATACATATTTACATAGCTTAGTTTCACTGGCTACTAACTATAAAATTATATTAAAGCTACAAAAATGCAGTCCCTAGTGAAGGGGAGGTCGTTTCTATAAAAACTAGAACATTTTACCTTGGGGAAAAACGTAAATTACACAAAATAGTTCATATTGTTCTTCTCAGAAATATATAAATACATAGAGAACAATAACCGCTGGATTCGACTAACTGTAAATGTCAAATTACCTACTTTCTAAAGGTACGGATTGAAATAGAAAAATTTTCCCCAGAAATATGTAAGAAAGATTGTATCTGAATATTTTAAGAGATTTCTGGAAACTAATTTACACAAACTTAAAGAATTAGCGATATATATCTAAAATAATAAAAGATATAGATAATAATAGAAGTTGCAATAATCTGCAACTTCTTTCCGTAAGTTCCGTAAAATGACATAAACCCATCTATCTGAATCACCATATTATTCAGTGAAAGAGTTTTTCAACGATTAACGAAGAAATTACATACTCAAGGTTTTACTATGCAATTTGCATTTTATTTCAATTTTGCAATCCATCCATCCAATGGCCCTACAGCCCAAATCAGGCCTCTACTTCCTTCAACAAGCTTCTCTAATAATTTCGATTTACTGCTGTTCTTTTCCATGAACGTGTTCTCCAGGCAGTTTCTGACATCCTTATCGACTTCGTCTTCCCATCTCTTTTTAGGTCTTCCAACAGGTCTTTTTCCCTGCAATCTTGCATTTAGTAATTTTCTGGGTATTCGATTCTCATGCATGTGGACCACGTGCCCTACCCACCTTAATCTCTTAATCTTAGTGTATTCTGCTAGAGTTGGTTCGCTATATTGCTCGTATATTTCTCTATTATACCTAATTCGCCAGTTGTTGTTTTCACTTGTTGGGCCCAATATCCTACGTAATATTTTTCTTTCAAACTGAAAATTTTGCAATGGATTGTGTATTTTATTACCTTTTATTTTGTGATATTGTCGATTTAGGTAATTTTAGTAGGTAAATTTTAAATTATTATTGTTATTTTTTGTCTGATTTTTGTAAGCCTTGTTTATAAAATTGTATAATTTTCAGTGACAATGAAACATATTTCTATTCTATTATATTATATTCGACCATCTCAAACAAACATTTTTACATTTGAAACGTAGTCCATACAATTATACCTAGCTACCATTATCAATTACTGCTTTTAAAATATTTAATTGTTCATTAATAGATCGATTAAAAATTTACATGGTATCAACAAAGAGAAAATTTAACAAATGCATACTCAAATACAGGATATTCTACATTTACGCTACACAACATGTAGAAACAAGATTTCATTATTTGATAATTTTACGCATATAAATGGTCTTTACCTTATAACCTAGCTTTGTTGGAACCCATAAAATAAGTACATTAAAAACACAGACATAACTCTTGATGACTAACCTAACCTAACCTCTGGACAAAATATTTCTCAACCCTGAAACCATTCAATAATATTGGTACATTTATTCAAATCCTCAACTTAAGAAGATTGCAAAGAAGGCAAAACAGCTTTCATGAGTTTTGTAATAATCTTTCTTGATGCCTGGTTTTGTATAAAAAATGAATCTTTTTCAGACTGACCCATATACGGTACTTTTAAAGCTAATTGTTATACTGAAATTATTGTAACGAGCTGATAATAGTGCAAAAGTTTTTGAAATTTTTTGTGTGAGAAATAATGCAACGATATTGTAACTCCTGATAAACTTTTTTACAAAACTAGTTGATATGCCAGTTAGAAGAGGATTGGTAGCACCCAGAACTACACTCATTGAAACAATCATAAGAAAGTTTGATACTGACAGTAAGTACTATTTTTTTTATATTTTTTTTATATTTTTTTTTATAATACACCTTTTTATTTAAGTTATTCGCATAATCTATATTAATGAATTTAATATATTATGTTCACGTAATATGATAAATTAAGTTCACCTAAAGAAATATGTCGTAATTATCTTTTCATTAATATAATCTAAAATTTTCAACCTAAAATTTTATATGTACAGTTGCCGTCATATAAAACTGGTACACTTTTTTTCCAATGTAAACCTGTGTTCAGACTTCCACACAATGATTCGTGTATAATATTATTATTATCATTAACGATAAAAAACCGTATCTAATAAATTTAATAACCAGAGAGAGGTTAAGTTAATGACCAAAATGTTTAAAGAATCTTTAAACGTAGGGTATTGGCACAGGGAACAATGGAATTGCACCTATTGTAATTTTATAATGTCTGTTACACAACCCTTCTTTTAGCTGATTTGATACAATATTTTCATTCAACAAGAAACGTTGTTCAAAAAATTAGACTGACATATGTGACAAGATCAACTTACACAACTCAAAAAACACCATTATCGGTTATAAGAGTTGTACTAGTTTTTTATAGTGCAAACGGTACTAACTGACTCGGCAAACTTACCGTCTTGGAATTAATAAATGTTCTGGCAAATTTTTAGCATGGTTTCAATCTAGTCGAAGTCATATTTTTTTAATATTCTTATAAAATCCCTAAAGTTCAATAAAAGTTAAAAAAGGAGCTAATTCACGTGACAGCAAAGGCAACGTTTGCTGAATGGGTTACAAATGTGTTGATTATTTTCATTGAAAAACCTTGAGATATACTTTATTTTCCATTGTGTTGCCAGGCGCAAGAATTAATAAAGTGAATGGTTTGGTCACACGTCAACTTACTACGTACAATTCACCATGAGAATAAGAATTATTTTCAACAAACATATTAAAGGATATTAAATTCCTTTAGATGGGAACTTCCTCATCCTTCATTTTTTGTTCGTATCGTTCCGTGTATTATATTGTCTACGAGTTTTCACACCACCAAATTCTTCCTGTAATATAGTTTTAGTTGCTTCAAAATTAAAATTATGATAACGATTGTAACGGGTAGCTCTTTCGGGGCGACAGACTCAGTAAAACATAGGTTGAAATAAAAATTAATCTATTAATTTAGCATATATATAATAAATGAAAATAAAATTAATTCTACGCCGTATATACAATAAATAGAAATAAAATGAATTCTACGTCCCTGTCTGGATCCCGCGATGAATGAACTCCCCGGCGAACGTCTATAAAAGAAAAAAAATATTATTACTAATAAAGAAATAAAATGGGTGAACTCGATCGCACGCAGACTTATACTCGCTTCCTCTTCAATTCAGCGGAAGCACCGAACGCACTCGCAAACAAAATATTCGGCTGTGCAGACCCCCGGTAATGTTCAATTCACAATACCGATGGGTTCTGCTTGGTTAAGGACAGAGTACGATCCTCAATACGGAAATCTCTCTGTCTGGGTTGGCTTGCAGGTTCACTACACCGGCGAGTCAGGAAGCCTAGAGCGCTAGCTACAAGACTATCTAATTCCGCCAGTCACTCGCCTTAAATAGCGGCTCCGAATCCCACTTCGTCGTTTTGTTGTAGAAGTGGATGCGCAAATATCGACACTCCCACGGTTCGAACTGTTAAACAATCAGAATATCGTTACACGATTAAGTCAATATTTAGTTATAAATTGTGAGGTGGTAACCAAATACACGTCTTAGTTAAGGCTGTTTTAGCAGTTCAAGCACACTGCGATTTGAAATGGGCGTATCACTTACTTTTCTACACTGCTTACGCAAGACTCTCTTGCGTAAGCAGTGTACTCAATATACTCAGTGGAGCAGCCGACGCCTAGTTTATTGATAACACATGCATTACTCTCCATTCAAATCAGTTTTAACACGAACTAACTGACCGTACGCTCATGAGATTTGACGTCACGAAAGCGATAACGCTGAAAATAAACGACAATGATGAGTAACACGTTTCCCATTTTTTTTCCTACTCTGCCGTAAATCTCCTCAAATATTATTATTTACTTATATTAAATTAATAAAATATGTTATAGAATGATAAATAATTTTGCTTTGTTCGAATTCTCGCCATTTCTATGATACGCGGTTGAGTTATTAAACAATCCTTGTATTTGTGAATATCTTTGAGATATAGATTCATATTTGAGTTATTCTTAGGCGTTGGATACATTACATCCATAAAAATCTGATGAGATAGTGTATTAATGTTTGATTCAGTCAATAAAAGCAATCTCAGCATTGGAAACTGGAAAAGAAATAAAAAATGTAGCAACCCCGTATAGGTCTCTATACGTGCCGTTATAACGTATGAAACACTCATATCGGCTGAATATACCCACTCGAAGTAAAATGCTTCAATATTCTCCAGCGTATGGTCGTGCATAATAAATGGACTTTAAATTGCGAACAAATCATATCTTTGACTCAACGCAATTCCACTGAAAGGAAAAGAGCTCTACTAAAACATGGCGTGACGTAATTAATTATTTTTTTGTGTTGAAATTTGAAACGACTGCATGCAACTCGGTCAATCATGACAACGAAGTTCTGAATTTTCTGTCTCTACGATCGATAGACGCGCTGTCCCCAAAAATTTAATATCTCAATACCGCATCAGGAAGACTGCCACCGGTTATATTAGCATGAGCTAAAATATACTTCCCTAAGGAATTTACGGCTACTATATAGAGTGTATACTAATTTTTTTCAAATTTGCTAATTAAGAATTATTGAGAATTTTTAAATCACAGTTGTAAAAGCCGAATGAACTATCGCACCCATAAATTTTAGAACACATCATTATATTATTATTTTATACAGCCTCCTTCTTGTTATAGGTCTTTATACAAAACGATTTTTATCTATCTTGCTGTTTATTTTTTGTATTGTTAGGATAATATTTTAAGAATTGTCGAAAATAAGATAAATTGCGGTTTTAAGTGACAAAATTCTGTATATTCATTTAGTAGGCCCAAAACACTGATTAGTGGATTTAACATCAGCAGCATCAGTACATCCCTGCTGAATTAATACAATACACCACAACAAAACTAGTGATAATTTGGCTAAACTTTTACAGCGTTACGTTATTGAAAAGAAAATTTCTCTTAACTGAAGAAGAAATTTAAATTCACTATACATATGTGCCACCTGTAGAGAAATTTTCATGATAAACTCAATCAGTAGAATATACATAATAGTATTTAAAAATAAAATAACAATGAATAACAATATTTAGAAGCTAAAGTTCAATTGAGTATATATTCTGCCTTACACAGATTATTAAAAAGGCTTTTTCTTCATCTTCTCCCTCGTTATAAGTAATTCTGCTTGTTCATTGGGGACGTATCTCTTCCGTACGGACGTATCGTTTCCGTTGTGGCTATATCGGGTCTTGTTTCTGAGGCATATGTCATTATTGAATGACAAACTGGCTTAATTCTTGACTTCATCTCAGTGTTATGTTTCATGATATAGTGGTATTAAGGCATCCTGTCAGTCTATTTGCTTTTTGTACTTGATCTCTCACTTCTTTGTCCATATCTTGTAATTCCAAGATATTTTATTTCCATTACTTGTTTAATACTAATGTCATCAATTTCTATGTTACATCTGGTTAGTTCTTTGCTGAATACTATTGTTTTAGTTTTCTGAGATGACATTGTCATATTAAATTATTTTGCTATTATGTTAAATATGTGGACCAGTCCTTGCAGACTATCTTCATCTTGGGCTATCAATATTGCGTCGTCTGCGTAACAGAATATTTTTTTTTATCCTGTATCCCCTTTCTTTGTTAACGCTTTTGATGATTTCATCTATGATCAAATTGAAGAGAATGGAGCTTAATAAATCCTCTTGTTTTATTCAGCTGCCTATTGCTATAGGTTCTGTAAGTTGTTCATTTATTCTGACTTCCATTCTGTTGTTTTTGTAGATGTTTTTATTAGGTTTACTACTTACTGTGTCAAACGCTTTCTTTAGGTCAATCAGAAATAATGCTGGTCGATTATACTTTAGTGATTCCTCAGTAATTTGCTTAATAACGAATATTGCATCTGTACACGATCTTCCAGTACGAAAACCCTGTTGTTTATCTGTTAAACTTATCCTCTGATTTATCATCCATTAACTTCGAGTTTTTTATCGAAGTTAACTAATTTCATTCATCTAAAAAACGTTTTCTTGGCTTATTTCAGATGCCCCTGAAGATGCTATTTTAAGCGAAAGTACTTGGGCAAGATTTAATTAAACTTGTGCTCGATAATAGCCTTATTTTCAAAGTTCATTTACTCGAGCATTCAACCTTATATCAATTAACTAAATAAATATACAAAAACATAGGTAATAACAAGTGTTACGTACAAATTTAATGTTCGACAATGGAGCAAATGGTCATCCAGTTTATTTTTGAAAATATTGACAGATGGAGCATCTATGATCTCAGCCGGAAGGCTATTCGATATCGAGAACACTCAATACCAGAGAAAAAAATTGTCTAGTTGCTGTTTAAATTGGTTTCTTTTTAAACTTAATTTTAAGTTTTCATTTACCTTTCCATTTCCAAAGTTGTATTTTACTATTCGAAACGTAATAATTAAATCTGAATTTCTGTCTTGGTTTTGCTCCAATAAAATAGTAATCTGATGCAGAATTTGCTTTGTGAGCTTCCTAAACTATATTACCAACGTTAAATTTTGAGTACGACTATGTATGTATACTAATATTTTTGAAATGCATGATTTACCATATGAAATGTTCTAAATTTACGAATACAAAAAAAACTTCGTTAGATCTATCAGTCTCTTTGTTTGATCATCGTGTTAAATAAACACTAACCGATCACGTCTTTCAAGTTATTATATTCAAATATTAGGAAAATATTATTTTAACTTTTAATATCAAGCGAAAAATG